AATGGATGCCTTTGTAGCCCATGTTTAAGCATGCTCACTGAACAGAAACTTACCATTTCTCTGAGTAATTACTTCCACTAAGATTGCTTCCTTTTTTCCTTAAAATTCAGATTCAATATTTTCTGTATCTTAAATCTATTTCTTGCTGTCCTGCATTTTAGAGTAATGGAGGAAAAATTCTGACTGGTTTTGATTTTTGTTTTCATGTTGCTATCCTAGTTTTTTTTTCTCTTCAGGGCTAAATAATTCCTTTAGTTTCTTTTATAATCTCTATTATAATAATTTTGGTAATAGAGGGGCCAGGAGTGAACTATGTAGCATTTATTTTACAACTAACTCAATTTTAATGAGGAATTACTGATTATTCTCAGAGTATGATTTCAAAACTTGCATTAGAAATGCAATAGCTACTATATAGACATTTCATACTCTGCTGCTGAAAGTATATCTATCTCCTGGGTTCCACTGAATTCTGCACCCTCATAAATCTTGAAGAGTCCTTCAAACATTTAAAAAACAGGATGGAAATTCCACATCTTCTTTCAGAATTAAGACAGATGCTATTGCTATCTTTTTAAAAAGGTTCAAATTGCTTTTGATGCTATATTCAGCAAGTAAGAGTTTGGGATTCACTTTCTTGAGCAGTAATTTAATTAATGGGATTATTAGAAATCAGAAGTTGGAAAACTACAGGGTGTTTTTTTTACGAATGCAGTGTTTGCTAGGGATTTGCTTAAATGAACTGTTGATGTATTGTTCACAACAGTGGTGGGATTCAAAAATTGTTGGAACCTACTCTGTGGGTGTGGCCCCCTTTGTGGGAGTGGCTTGCCGGCCATGTGACCTGGTGGGAGTGGCTTGCCAGCCATGTGTTCTCTCTCTCTCTCTCTCTCCTTCCTTTTGTCTCTCTGTCCCTTTTTTCTTTCATCTCTCACGCTTTCTTTCTTTTTTGTTTATTTATTTCTTCCTTTCTCTTTCTCTCTCTCTGTGTCAGTCTGTCTGTCTGTCTCTCTCTCTATGTGTGTGTGTGTGTAGCCCTGTAAAGTGGGAAAAAACAAAAGGAGTTTTCTTCCAACAACCAGTTCTCTGAGCTGCTTAGAAAGTTAACAACCGGTTCTCCCGAATAGGTGCGAACCGGCTGAATCCCACCACTGACCTACCCATAGCACCCCCAACTGCCTATGCTCCATAGTGTGCATCTGCCTGCCGTTGCTAAATCTATTATTAAATATATAAATTATATTGTATACACTGAGAGCTAATGGGTAAATGCCATACTCCAGGAGATGGGTTAATAAAATCTTTTTACTGTCCACACCTGCTTCAAGCAATTTATGTACTGACTTTTATGATATCACCAGATGGACATCAAAAGCACAGATTACCTCGTAAGAAAAATGCCAGGATACATGGACATTCATATTGTGGAATGGACCATGAATTATTCATTACAAATAGGCCCATAAAATCTAGAAAAATTAAAGAGAACAGAAGTGCCAGAAAAAGAAAATATGATGGAAAAAGAGAGTAAAAAAAACAAGTTCAAAGAAAAGAACAAATTTAGTATGTGAAAACTGAAGGCAGTGAGATCTTCCCCAAATAAAAATAAAAATAAATCAAGTATCTTTTAGAAGCCGAGGTGGCACAGTGGGTAGAGTGCAGTACTGCAGGCTACTTCAGCTGACATATAAAATTCTTCCCACAAACTCTAAAATCTCTTTCTCCTGCTTGAGCAGGGGGCTGGACTAGAAGACTTCCAAGGTCCCTTCCAGCTCTATTCTATGTTCTATTCTGTTTAACCCTGATTCCTAGTATTTCTGGTGTTTTAGATCTGTGTTATTGACAAACCATTAACATTGGAATGAATTTGATCATTTAACAATTTAAATAAAAAGAGCCGAGGTGGCGCAGTGGTTAGGGTGCAGTACTGCAGGCCACTTCAGCTGACTGTTATCTACAGTTCAGCGGTTCTAATCTCACCGGCTCAGGGTTGACTCAGCCTTCCATCCTTCCGAGGTGG